TTTCCCATCACCTCCTAAGAAGACATTTCCAAGTATGTGTCATTGACAAAGTGGCACATACTATAGTCATTGCATACACATACTGTGACATCGCCACAGACAGGATAGTTCACAGCAGCTTTAACAGATGAGAGATTTAGGACAGAAACAAACAGGGAAGCTTGAACAAACAACTCGCATCAACCAAAAGCAAAAGAAAATGACAAACGCCAGGATGAGAAAACCCCAAAACATGAAGCCTTTATTTGGCTAAGGATCCCAGTGCATAAGGAAATCTTGTGTCTCATAGTCACAGTGAAATATTTCTGAACATTCTCCTGGTCCTGAGCAGCTTTAAGTGCTGACAGGCATCATTCATCATTGTCACCTCATTATGTACTCTGTGTCTAAAAAAGTTGCAGAACTCCTGAACTAACCATGAGTTCCACACATGTCTAAAGCAGGTCTAGTTACTCTTTGCTATAGTGTGTTGGTTGTTGGTTTTGTGTCAGCAAAAAAAAAAAGTGCACAGAATCAAGGTCAGAATACACAAAAAAGAATTGGGTTCTTATTAGTATGGAAACCAAGAAAGGAAAAATCAATAAAAACATTGTGTCTGTTTACATTGTAAGAAAATAATTTGTAATTCTGATGTTTGTTATAAGCTTCAAGACAATTATTACTCAGAATATTGTCTGGTGTAATGAAAGTAAGAAAATCTTTTGATTTCCATTCCAAATGCACATTCTCTGCTGTATCAAGAGACTTATAAATGAAACCCTCAAATGTCAGAAAACAAAGACCTACAGAACAAAGTCTAAGTTAATCATTTGCTTGGTTTCTAAGGTGTGTACATTATTGGTAATGAGACTGCAATTCCTTTTTATAAATGCCAAAGGCCAGGATAACATCAGGTGATATTACATTGTGAAAATACCTCCAAGTGCTCTTTTTTTAGAGATTGTGAAACATTTTAAAGGTAAGATTTTTTAAAGATGTTTCATGTAACACTCTGAAATGCAACTATGCTCCTTTGAGAGAAAATCACCAAAACAGCAGAAAAATGTTCTGCCCTCAATACCAACTAATACAGTATAAACATAATAGGACAGCTACCCTCATTTTGGTTTCTTTCCAGACTAATAGTAATAATGTAAATCTGAAAGTTTTCAGAGAATCAAAACATATTTATTGACAATTTATCACATTATTCCTAGTCTTTTTAAAATGTGGTGACAATCTTTTTAAAAAATATTGTTTCAACAAAAATACAGTGTCACCGTGGTCCCATGGCTGAGGCCTTCACTTTGAACACTGTAGCTGCCAGGCTGTAATCAGGGATCGGCTGATCTATTCTCTCCTCTGTTTTGTCTTCATTTGTGGGCTACAAAAAGTGTGCTAGTGCATTATATTTCTTCATTTGTCTCACAAGATTTTCCCCTTAGTTTGTCCGTAGCTGATAATCTGCCAAAAAATGATAATGCAAGAAAAAAATTAAAGGATCTATATTATTAACCTTAATGTTGTGCCCCTTCAAAAAGTATATTCATTAATATATAGCACTTTTCATTTAATGGTCTTCCAACATTACAAATGGATTTTTATCCATCATTAAACTCACGTTTAGTTCCACAGTCTTTATTTGGTGTTGAAAACAGTTTTACTCTAGTTTTGGGAGAGTTGGCTAAGACGCCATGATCAATGTTTTCTAATGGGTGCATACCATCCTTTTCAAATTTTTAAATACCACAGAATTAATACATAGGGAAAGTGTGGACCTTGTCCTGCAGATAGCAAAGGGAAGGAACACTTCATAAAAAACTGCAGAGGCAAATTTCCATGGGTGACGCGGAGACTCACTGTTAAGGGCCATCCCCATGGTGTGAATAAAAAGACAAAGTTCTATGTATTACACAGAAAGTGGCTAAATCTCTGAACCTGGTTTTCCCATGAGGACCAGAGAAGCTCAAGTCTTACCTCCGCTCTGTGTGATGTAGCGTACCCAGGGCAGGGCCTGATAGCCACTCTTCTCAATTATCTTCAAGTAGCGGACCTGCAGAGAAGCACAGACATAGGTAAGGGATGGTAGGACTCACAATACTGCAGCTATACTGTTCTGACATGGGGCCAGGGTAGCTCAATGGGCTTGAGCAAGACAAAGATAATGCCAGAACATAGGTTGTGATCCCTGTCTACTCACAAAGTAATAAACAGCCCATGTGGTTCGTCAGCCATTGAAAGTGTGGCTTTGAGACTGCTGGAGCCTGAGCTGTATGATCAGTCTCTTTCAATCATCACTACTGAAGCAAAGAATGCTTCCACCAGAAAAGTGATCATATTTATCCTGCCTCAGAGAAAAAAAAAAACCTGTATAGTGGCAAATATGGCAAACGCACACAGATGTTCATTTGTAATTCAATATTTTTCACATAAAAACTGGTGAGAAAGCAAAGCATTGGAGTATGGCATATCACAAAGTCCTTGGGCCGAACAAGTGTGGAACTAATAGATAACCGAGAAATGTTCAAGGAGGTAATTCTAGCAAAACTATAAATTCATTATACGTCTATGTGCTTTTGTGGTACCATAATTAATCACTAGTTCAAGTACGTAGCTGTGTCAGCATGCGAAGGCTGCAAAGGAACAAGTAAAGGTTTATTCCACGCTGAAAAGAGAAGAAAAGAAACAGAACGTTTCGGCTGTGGAGCCTCCAGAGCCGAAACGTTATGTTTTTTTTCCTACCTTTACAGCATGGAATAAATAATGAATCACTGATGAGCGTGATCATGTGCTGTATGTGCTTCAAGCTGAAACATCTGAACAAGTCACTGCAAACATGTTTAGATATCTCAGACATCCCAATAGTCCCCTTCTGAGACATTCCAATGGGAATCAGAATGTCAGACATAAAGTAGGGCACATTCCCATCTACATGTAACTACATTCAGACTTGCTGTACAGTACTGGCAGATGAGCTGTTACGTCCAGGATTGTGTGCCTCTGTGAGTTTTTGACCCTGAGATTTGCATTCCCATCTCTCATATGTCTTTATGGAGACCGAAAGAGAACTTGGAAGACTTGAAGACACATCAACAATTTACTGTACCATTTTACCATTGGAAGTCAGTTTCATTTTGAGCAACAGCATAGTTAACAATCCTGTAGGCTCCCTCTTAGCTTAGCTTTTAGGGAAACTGTCTGAATTCAGTCTCAACAAGCCAACAATCCTGAGCTCAGCGTCTCACCTGGATCCCGGACACAGTGAAGTAAGGGATCTCGAAGGTGACAGTAATGGGTGGTTTTCCCTCCAGTTCTTCACTTTCCACACTGGGCAAACCGAAATGAGCTCGCATTAGGTACTCCTTCCCACCCTGCCAGCCAGGGGAACAGAATTAGTACCCATGTCAGACTGTCTGACTGCTGATCAGATCAGGGCTAGAGGTTTTTTGAAGGGAGGGAGTTATTGCTTACAATAAAGAATCTCAAAAAGTTTCTATGAGCATTTGAAAACAAGTATAAACTTAAATTCTTCAATAATATACATATATGGGGCTACATCATATGCCACTTGACCTCAAATGCACTCAGTGATGCTGTTTTGATAAATAAGCTGATGATATTAATGAAATAATCAGGACATTTATAATACTGTATGTACTCCAAAAATTCTGATTGAGATGTTCAAAAAGTGAATTTCCTGCATTGGCAATTGGTATAGACAACAATGTGCGGGTTGAGAATACAGGAACCTTTTCTCACAGGTCTTCAACAGGTTTCTCTTGTGTTACGTAATACCTGTTTTTTTAAAACACCTGAGAGTATTTCAAAGGTGGAATATTTTAAAGGAGGAATATGTCCCACTCCACCGAAACCAAATCAAGAAAAACTAAGGTATTTTAGAGCACAAAACTTCTGTTTTTAATACCAGTCCAATCAGAAGAGGTTGTACTAAAAGAAGAACTAACATAATTTGTGGAGTTACTGTCCAAACTGTGCTCCTAAATAGGATGTTAGTATGTAGAAAATGAGTTCCTGAAATCAGAAAGAATATGGTTCAAGATGAAAATGTAAAAACTTTTCGCAAGAGCAATGCATGAGTAAGTTACATAGGGGCTGTAAGAGGAATGGAATTCACAACAGTTATCAAAGATGGGCAATTCTTTATAGATTCAGATTTTAGTGGACTTATTTTTCTTCTGAGAAGATTGGAATACGGTAAAAAAATGTTTCAGTGAGTAGCCTCCTCAATGCGAGAGTGAAAGGTGTGAAAGTGAGGACGTGTTAGAGGTTTTCTACTTACAGGGAAGGATTTGATTGTCCAAACCACCATATTTTTCTCTGGGACCCACTTGGCACTGCCTGTGCTGGTCTTGAACTTTGGGGAGTCTGCATCGCTGGGCACTGGTACCATGATAGCCACATTATTAGCTGTGGATCGTTGCTTGAACTGACTCCGGGCCTGGGGTACACAAAGACACAAGGCACACAGCAGGACACGTGACATAGGTAATTAAGAAAAACAAAGCTATTCAGAGCAAAAGTTGGTTGGATAACACCTTAATTAGTGAGAGGAACACTTGATGGAAAGCTTGCCTTGATTTCTTTTGGAGGTCAGATTACTGATTCAAAATGGAAAGTAAGCATTTGTCCCGAGAGACCTGTGCATCTACTTTTTGTGTTTCATTTAAGATAACTCCATTCTACATTATCCCACACAGGAAAAAAGAAATAATGACAATATTTTAGACCAGTAGGTTAGAAATCGTAAACCAAGGAGATATACAACAAATATGAATTAACTCATATAATTAGGAACCCTTGAGAATACTGTCCTAGAATGTGTTCAGTAGCAGAGTGATATTTATTCTGAAGTCAGGCGAGATATAGGTATTTATATCAACTAAAGGCAGGCACCTGAGACAGAAAACTCACTATGGACACACTTAGCCAGAGAGCTGCACAGAAAAGACCATACCTTGACCATGATCTCCACCCGGCTGTGGGAGTACTTTTCTATCACAGATTCAATCCAAATGAGGGGCTTAACCTGGGACAGAGAGGCCAAGAACATGGGACATTTTCAGTGGATCAGTGAGACAACATGCATTAGGCTCCAGGATGAAGCCAGACACAGACATAAATGGCTGAGCCCCCACCTTTCTGGGATTATTATCTTGACAGGGTCCGGGATTCATGTTTATTCCTTATTTTCATGGAATGTCAGGCTACAGGGTTGAACAGGCAGCAAATTCATCAGACACTCTTGCACCATACTTACATGGAACTGCTAAGCATACAAAAGCAAGCATTCTAAAGGGAAAAAGAATATTTAAATGTCACAAAGGCTAAATACCGACTGAGTCAATCCGGTTTAACGTGTCAGATTTTTCTTCCATATGATAACAAACAGAGCATATTGAAATGGTCAATCTTGACACAAGTTATAAAACTGTGTAGCAAACCGCCAAACACAAAAACAACTGTGTAGTAGCTTGGCCTCATGCAGATGGTCATTTACAAGGCTTATACTGTATCTTTATAGTGCCATGGGTGCTGAAATTCTGCTGAAAACTAACTGCACCACTAGAACTGCTAACTCTAAGGGCAGGGAATGCTCTCAGGATTTGTCACCCTAGTGCCCCAAAAGTACATATCAGTTGTAGGAAATGTCTTGCATTTCCAGTGTCAGTGAGCTGTTGTGATACTAACAGGGGTATGAAGGCGGTAAGCCATCAGTTCACACTCCCCATCTGGTGGGATGAAGGAGATGGTGCGGTCATTTTCAAAGCGAGAAAGTCGCACACACTGATGGAACTTCACATCCTCCAGCTCCACTGTCTTGCTCTTATCCCCTGGGAAAAACACAAACAGGAAAACAGTTCTTGCAGCCTTGTTTGAAAACACAAGCTCTCCTGTACAATGTCAGAGAGACATCTGAGACAATAAAAAAAGTATTGATTGTATATAGGCTACAGGCAATGTATGACATACAATAAATCAATAAACCAAGTGCTGGAAAACATGTATTCTTTTACTGCTGTGTTTTACTTAAATTTAAACAAACATTCTTATGTTTCTGAAAGTCGAAGAGATTATTTAAATAAATCGTCCTTACTGCTAAAGTATATTGGACAAATAAATATGCCAGTTTAAACAACTTTCATTTAGACAGGCAAAACCTAGTACTACTGTATATGATGTGAAGTTAATACTTGAGTTAATATTGACATGTTTAACTTCATTACTGTACCTTAAGAAATCAAATCCTCCTTTAAAGAGACAATTATATATAGAAAGAGAGTTCAATTCACTCTTAATCTATTTTATGCACAGGGAATACTGCCAGGTCTGAATGTAAAAACGCATCCATTTAAAGTTGTGCTCTGAAGCATGACTTGGTATCGGTGACATTTTAATGAAGATTAAAAGGAGGTCTAGGTTCTTGATGTCTGCTGCTGACGGCTCCGACTCAGTGCTGAGTCTGTGGAGATCAGAGGCCTACCATGCAGCCATAATCCCAGCAGGAACACCTGAGGACCCTACTTTTATACTCAGAATACAAAGAGAAGCAATAACATATATGTACAGAAAGGTTGGACAAGTGCCTGGCTCACCAGAGAAGGAAGAAGCCCTTTTAATTTGTAAGTCTTTGTTCAATATTGAGATCCCCAGGGTCCCCTGAATGATCTGTTCCTACATGTTTGGACCTGTGGCCAGCAGGCACATGCAACCTCTAAAAGAACTCCTTTCTCCAGTCTTCTGAGACTTACCTCCTCTTCTGTACCACAGAACTTACGTAACTAGGCTGTTTATTAAGCTCATGCTAGAGTTCCTTTGAACAAACTCCTACCTTTCTTTATTATACCTTTATTCAATAAAATCCCTTCTAAAGTTTACCTTAGGCAAAATCACTGCTGCAGCATTTTAAACCTTATGTTTCTTCATGTATTTTGTAACAGGTCACTGCAGACCTGGTTCTCATTAGTGTTTTTGTTTGGTTTGCTTGATTAGTGTACTAAAGAAGAATTGTGTCCATCAAGTACAAGGATGAAAGCACAACATATGATTGTACTCTTGGGTGTATTTCATTTTTCACAACCAAACTAAAACGAATGTGTCGTGCCCTAGGCTGTGGTTTTTAGATGTATCCTGCCCCCTTGGGGACAGGCTTGGATACAGCAACTGGAATCGCACATGGCTGCTGACCTGTGACCCTGCCCAGTTTATTCCTGGATTCCAAATGTCAACTGGAGAAAAGAAAAGCAGTATGATGGGTTACAACTGAATCAATTGGAGCTATGTGAATAAATGCTACTGTTATCAGCAGATTACTTTCTTGATTTATTTCATTTTTTAATTAAGCGTTGGTCTTCCCATTTTCTAGTGGGCAGGACAGGGAAGGTTCAGTTCACAAAGCCTAGGCTACAGAGAGAGGGGCAGGATGTGTGGTGATGTGCATCTGATTTGTTTTTGCAATTTTTCTTGGTTTAGCCTCTTCATACAGTAATTCTCTCATTTGTCCCTCCTCTTGTCTTTTGACTTTCAGGGGACTCTGTGGAAGTGGAGTGGATTTTCCTTACGCCCTTTCATCTTTTTCCCCTCACTTCTTTCTCGAGTCCCGGCCCAGATGGGCACTACCCCTCTCTTCCTCTTCAGTGTTCTCATTGTAAACACATCATCTCCAACTCATGGCCATCAGCATACTGAAGACACAGCTACTCCAGCACTGTCTTCAAAGTATCTGGGCTGTCTTTAGATCTAGCCAGGAAAAGCTTTCTTGTAAGCACCATAATAAAAATACGATACAATCTCTCAAATCATTACTGATTATGACACAGGAAATCCTAGTAAGATAGCGTGTGCCTTGCTTTTTAGTTGTGCCTTGGTAATTAGTTACTTATTCCAAAACAGGCATAGCTCAGTAATAAAGGTTATGTGTTCTGTCTTCATCACTCTTACAATGATTTTACTTTGCTAATGTCTGTCAAAATACTTTTGTTTTGAAAGGAAAAATTGCAAAGCCTGCAATGGTTCTGAAAAAAGAAGGTGTTTTTTTATATTATCCATTTCTTTTCCTTTCACGTAGGTCAACATTAGACGCTGGCTAATCAGCCTGGCTGGCTAACTGCTTCTCTAGCATAAGTCAAATTCTTGCATCTGCAAGGTCACTTCTAGCCACCTCATCTGAGCAAAATTCAGTGCGGAGAGTGAGATTTAGGATGAAGGTTTGACACCTACAAACATTCTAAAAAAAAAATTTGGATTATGTGGACAAAACAAAAAAAAATATTATAGAATTAGGAAAGTAAGGTGTGTTTTTAGGCAACTTTGCTTCTTTGGATTCTAACTTACTTCCCGTGATTTCGAAGAGCACTTTGTCATTGAGGCCAAGACGCAGTTCTGGCATTCCAGATAAAACCACCTTCAGCTTGACGCTGCCGACGATCTCACTGCGCAGCACACTACCATTTGCACTCACCTGCCAGAGACATACAGACATACAAAATGGGAAGTGAGTTTCAGGGGGAGACAGGTCAAAGTATGCAGAGAAGAAGATCGAGAGGACAAGCACAGGAGGGTATGAGAGAGCTGGACAACAAAGTGCACATTAACAATGACAGAAAAAGAAGACAAGAAAGAAGAGTTGTAAGGATAGAAAGAGAGGAACGGAGAAACAGAAGAAAATGAGAGTGCAGAAAGCTGTGAAATAAAAACAAGAGTGGAAATGTAGGTTAAGTAATGGTTTCCTGTTAGGAGCTATCTCAGGAATGAGCTTTGTTGTGCTGAGTACCGGTGACCATGACTGAGCTCCACCCTGTGAAGTCCAACTTGTGCCCAGTGACCCACATTGGCGTGGGGGTGTGAGGCTGATTGAGGGCCTGTCTTAACTGCGGTACACAGGAAATTTGCAATCATTTCCTCAGCCAGTGAATTCAAGGAAGTGGGTAAATGAGCTCTGGATGTTTCTCAGTATAAAAATCAAAACAAAGTTCACATTACATTTATTCCTTCTCCATTTGTCATTCACTTTGTCTGACACCAAGTCATATTTGTGTACACAACAATTATATAAAGTATATTTGGGAATTCTCAATTAGAAAGCCTCAAACTTACAACAGAAAACTTCGGCCCAGTGGTACTGAATTTCTCTTACCAGCAAATTGACAGACTCGATAACATCAATGAAAACTTCATTCTTCCTATATTTAATCCCCTCTGACCTCCAAGAGACAGCGTTGGTTACTGTTGCCGGGGGCCTCGGTGCACCCACCTCCAGCTTGTGGCCCTGCTGTGTAATGTACCTGCAGAGAAAAGACAGGTCACATAGGAGACTAAAAAACAATAGCCATCTCCAAGAAACAGCACCAAATTTATAATATGATTCTTCACGTTTATAGCATAACATAGTATGTTATGCAGCTCTACAGCGAAATACACTTCTTATTTCCTGTTAAGTGTAAGCGTTTAATGGGTGCAATCTATCAAAATACAGCAATAAACAGGTAAACAAAACTAACTTTTTCACAGACATCCCTCCATTTTCTAACGGCTTTCTCCAATTCAGGGTTGCTGGGAAGCCGGAGCCTATTCTGGCAAGCATCAGGCGCAAGGTGGGATACACTCTGGACGGGATGCCAGTCAGTACAGACTTATTTAATACAGTATTATTTAATAAAAACAGTAGGAATCATTCTTTTTAAAAGCTCAGTAATGCAGAGGGTCTAAAACCAAACTGGTTAAATGTCTTCAGTTTAAGATTGCAGTTACCTATCTATATTATAATCCACTAGAGACAGCTTGACAACACCATAGCAGAGTATGTACAGAGAAGAACCGTCCTGCAGAGGAAACCCTATTTAGACTCCATCATGTAAGGGTAGTGCTCATGACTAACTACATTCCAAGGCAGTAACGGTAAAGACTAACATCTCTTAACAGTTACTGTACATGAACAAGCTGTCACCTTGGGGCTGCTCTAGGTCTTATTCAAGTATACTGGCTAATGCCATGCTTTGAACTGCATTGAAAATGGATGTAAATGACTGCCAAAGAGTTGAACAACACCCCGACCCCCATTACCTGTTTAGCAAATTTCTGAATTGATCACCTCCATGCCCTGCTTAATCGCAAATCGTTCAGAGTCTCCTTCCACTCTAAGTTAATGTTGTCACTGTTATTATTTTAAAGGGAAATAATAAGACTTTCATTCCAAGCCTTGCTATCATTTCTTCTCTTTATACCCATTTAACCTTTTCCCTCTCAGATTTAGGAACAATGCCTGCTGAATTCCATTTTTTGGCTTTCTTTACGGAGTGTCTCCCCTAGTGAGTAGACCAGATGTTTCAGAATGTCTAAAGACCATGCCTCACGGGTAGAATTGTCGTAAAAAAGTAGCCAAAAAGAGTTCAACAACAGCCTGCTGATTTCAGTGTTCTCTTCACAATTGCTAATATCACCTTGCTTGAATGAGGATGAGTGAGACATAGAAAATTGAAGTGCCTTGGCACTGTTTGCACCTGACAGTTGCTGGGATATGCATTTGTTGTATTGTACACTGTAAAGCACAACACAAATGAATATTCCAGTGCATGTATCACCTGACTGTGTTTAGCACGTTTGTTCTCTTGGGTTAAACAAAAAAGAAGAAAGGAAATACAAAACGGGAACAAACGTTCGTATTTCCATGCCTTTAATAAATGCTAATGAATGCCTTAATGTGAACAGCGGGGCTAGGAGCATCAGACACAAACAGTCGTATTAGCATCAGAATAACTATCAGCTCTTTCAAAGAGCCATCTGCAAGCCTGGCTTGGGCAGTGATGATAGAAATAGCTCATAAGAGCCAGTTCATTCCCTTGTTGAATGGTGGCCGAAGGGGAGACCGCCAATGGCATAGATTTTGTACCCCTCTTTAGAAAAAAGATGGGGTGAAGATGAGTGAGGAGACTCTCTTGAGAGGCCGTGTCTGGTTCTTCCATGTGGACAGCTGACAGAGGCTTTGTCTCACTCGCACAGGGACTTCCACTAATCATCTACTGAAGGCAGACTGAGCCAGAGAGCCGTCCCTCTTTATTAACACACGAGAATCTTCTATTCGCTGACAAACGCCCACAAAATCTTAGCTTTAATTCTTCCAATTATTACTATCGATCAATGCTACCCTCAGATTTCCAGAAAGGAAATGCCTCTAAAACTTAAGATATTAAAAAAAGATTTGTAGACTCACTCAGCCTTTTGAATAACATTAAAAATTCTGTGATGCAGATTTTTATATGGTTAAAAAAAGGAAAAGGGCTAAGTATGGTAACTGGAAACTAATCGATTTAGTTTTTTTATTTTCCTTTCCATCAGTCCTATGTGCAAATCTCCTTGCTGTGAATGGATCTACAATGACATAGATTTTTGCTAGAAGTGATATTGATCTAGCTTGACTGTGCTACAGACGATTCTTTTGACCAATTACTTGATAAAGTCAGGTCGACAAACCAGAAGCGATACCAGTTCTGCTGGGTTTACAATTAAAATAATTGTAGAAGAAGGGGATATGACCAAGAAGTAAAATGGAGAATGCACTTGAAACATTAGGTCTCTACTCTCTTCTTTGTTGTCAGTTTTAGTATGACAGACAGAAACTCGCTCACAGTTTAATTACTTACTTTTATCTCCTACTGGTAGCTAGAAGTTTAAATGTATAATACCAATACCATTTCCACAAATGAATTTTTCAATCAGTGCATCCATCGATCTTGATTTGATAAAACTCCTTAACTGAAAAAATTCTCCAACATCTTTACAAAATTATGTTATTGTATGAGAACGTAAAAATATCACAGCAAAAAGAAAAAACAACAACCAAGTATTAAAGTCTCCAAAAAGGAGACCACAACTGAAGATACTTGAAATCTTTGCTGAAACCTTCAAATCAATGGCACAGTCAAATAAGAATCCTGTGCATGATACTACGACATACTGTTCATATCCATGAATGACTGTGAATAATTATATATAAAATGTATACATACTGTACTTGTACAGTACATACACAGTGTCTGATGAATGCTAAAGAAATGAGTTGACAGAACCTAAAGACATAAATGCCAATTAAAAAAGAAAATCCTGTAGTCTATTAAGCAGAAACACCTTGGTATTACAGTTCCTCTCCCACCTGATTTGTTCTGAGTCAAAAGTTAATATCACAGAGAATATGTCAACTGGAGTATCATTAATGGCAGCTATCAATTCTTTTCAATGCCACTTAATAAAGGGATCAGCACTTACTCCTGAAGGATCTTGCTGTCTGTCGTTTGAGGGAATCCAAAATCCATCACCTCGTCCATTAGCTCGTACACAGTGACAAAATTATCACGGATACTCTCCTCTTCAAGCTCCTTAAAATACTCCTTGAACACCTACACAAGAACCCAAAACAGACCAAGAGAGTAATGATAAACATACCACAAGCAGCCCCTAAAGGGGTCTTTTAGTTACGGTAGAAAACAAAATACAGCAGTCAGGGTATAAAAGATGCTGGTCAAGAAAGAGGAATTGAAGGCAGTTTTGATGGAACAGCATAATGCGAAGTGAAGGATAATTTTAGGTCTTACAAGATGTCAAATTTGCAATGTCACCTGCAGAGGTCAGTACAGCTCACAAATTCAGTATCGTACTCACCTCAACTATTTTATACAGGAAGGCAAACACCAAGGCTGCATTCGCATTTTTCTTGGTTATGGCCACCACTTTAGTTTACCAGTTAAGAAAGAGCACAAAAGAAGAGATTTGGAATCAGTAATAATCAGAGTTAAACTAATACTTTATAGGCTATGCAATTAATAGAAATATTGTATGCCTGACATTACACTCAGGGCACAATCTGCTGAGTGGTTCATGACCATACTCCTAAATTTCTTCAAGGTCATTCCTACGTTACACAGTTCAGTGTGGCAAAATAAAGTGATACTGAGCAGAGATGACAAAAACTGAGGCCTACGGCACCTTTGCAGTTTAGGTTCATTGCAGAAGAGGGCATGACCATGAGTCATGAGACAACTCCGGTCTGTCAAGCTGGTATAAAGCAAATTTAAAATGGCAATGAAGGATACAGTAGAGATTGCTGTGCTTGATCCACAAGAAGTGTGAGGCTCCGTGAGTCAGCAGTGGAGAAATGTCTGCATCTTCCTCTTTTTTCATCAGAATGGGCATGAAGTGATCAATTTCATTCATGTCCATGTCCCCCATGTAATTCCGACATATCAGCACCTAGGATAGAGATGAAAGCTCAGACACACCAAATCTAACAATTCCTTCAGCACGGTTTCTTCACATGTGACCCTACGAACATCCACATGAGACAATTTCAGTCTGTAAAGCAGGTATAAAGAGAATTTTTATTACAATTAATTTTGATTAAATAATTATAGACCAGTCAGGCGCAATACCCATCAGAACATCAGTCAATGTATTCACTCTTTGTGTGAAGCTCACAGAAATAGAAGAACGAAAAAAAAACAATGATGCAGCCGGCAACGTAAGTCACTCTACACCCCTGATTATTGATTATTAATCACTGAAGCCTTATCATTTGCAAGAGAATCCACAATGTAGCTTCAAAATGTGCTGCACTGAAAACAGGGACTTTGTTTTCAACACAAACAGAGCCCACAGCAAAGGGATGGAGCAATTGTTAACAACAACAAGATGTGTAAGTGCCCTCACTAAGACAGTGGCACATAGATTTGATTTCCCTTGAAACTCCCAAAAGGGCGATTTTATATTATATGACACATATTAAGTTAGTGTTTTCCAATAAATTAAACAAAATAAATCTGCCTGAAGGTCACCGGATTTCCATATTTCCATTTTGCTCACCTGAACAATAAAATCACTGGACTGACGTGACCTCCATTCATCATGCACAGCTCAGCACTGGTAACAGCAGATTCAAATGGAGGCCTGGGGGTTTCCATTGACTGGGCAATACCCTGGTCATGTCACTCACTGTGAAAGCTGGTATTACCAAGGATTAGAAAAAATGGGGAACTTGGGATATATCCGTTTTTCATGTATTTGGAACAAAAACAAAAGGGGTCTGAGAAAAGCTTCATTTTCCTTTCACACAGCCAAAAGAAAAAAAAAACACTTCTGTGATTTGCACAGCAGTGAAAGAAGTATAAAACCTTTTTAGTACAATCACTCAGCATACATTGAGAACACAATTGGTCTTGAAGTATGCATGGATAACCTACTTATAACAGCATAAATTTCCAGCTGCCTTTTCCCCCTGCTTTCTTCCTGCTTGAGCACAGGGCAGAGTGTGTGCTATCTATTCATAACTAGACAGGTATACAGCAGGATCCGGTGAGCATACTGAGCTGTAGGGCAGCAAATATCTGTCAACCTTTAAAAAACAGGTTCTTGAAGGCTGAGCCTTTTTTTGTTACCTTCAAAGACTTCATCTGCAAGGTGAATGTGAAATTGGATTCATTTAAGGATCTCTTTTCAGTCTTTTAAGAAGTAATACCAATTTTTGTAGACTGCTTTCAAGTGCTTTGGCTGAAAATTATACGTATTAAAATCCCAATTGTGCTGTTCACTGGCAAAACAAAACTTTTCTTTCAAGGCATGGTAGGTTACAGGCTGTGACAGTGCTTCATGGATAGCCCTGGGTTTAGAGTATTTGTGCTTTAGAAATCCTGTGAGGCAAAAATTTAAATGTAATTTAACTAAAAAGCTTGATAGACAATAGCTCAGGGTGCATTTGTCAGCTACCTTACAAAAGGGTAGCATAATTCCTTTCATAACAACTGTATTTGTTATGGAATAAAAATCACTGCCTCGTTCAGCTTTCTTTATTATTGGTCTTGTACACACTTTCTATTATAAAGAGACTTCCTTATAAATTACCCTGAGCCTATAAGTGGGTGATGGTGGTGCCTTTTGTAATAAGATACCTGATTAGCATTCATGTTAGAATAGAAAACTTCCAATGGATCATTATTAATTTAGAGCAACAACTTTTTTTCACTCCGTATTCCAGAGTGGTTTGTATTTCTCACCGGCATTCTGGGGGGGGAATCCTCTAAACTGCTGTGCTAAGAGCACTTTCATTGCCTTTTTGCTATTTTCTATTGCTTTTTGTCACAGTTCTATCCCACAGAGATATTCTTTATTTGATAATTAAACACCCTTAACTGTGGTGAAATACAATCTGGTAAATTTCCATCATTACATTTGCATAATATGTTTTCAGTGAGTACTGGTCCTCTCTCGTTATTTTTCTATTCACATACTTCAATGTTTTAAAGGTTGTTTTTTAAAAAAAAAACACAAACCTGCAGTGGCCACTTCACAAGGTACTGCTAACTTACAACACCAGGACAGCTCAAAAACATTAGAATACAAAAAAAAATCCTTCAGCTGTTCATATACAGTAGATACCCCCATACACACCCTGCATACCACCAGATGTAATTGCCTTAATATTGATGGAAAATTATATGAAAATGTCTACATATTCAAAAATGTGCTTTGCTGAACTGGACTGAATATTGCAAAATAGCTCAAATTAGATTTTGAAGCACTTGCTGTGAAAAGATTAGGTTATTAAGAAGGTGAAGGAAGAGAGTCTCTCTTAGTATGTGGGACCCATATTTGAAGGGAGCAGTATAGCATAGTGTGTATGTCTGTGGGCTCATAGCTTGTGGATTGTGGGTTCAAGTCCCTGCTGTAGGCACTGCTGTCATAACATGAGCTATGTACTTTACCTCAATTGCTCCACTCCACCAAGCTGTTTAAGGGAGGCCAGAATTCCCTGGGGTAAGCCCTGTGATGGACAGCAGATGGTTGAGTCCTACACATTTTGATTGCTTCATGCCTAGAATCCAGGCCACTTGAGCACCTGTATGTGGCTCAACAGTATTACCCACCTACTATTCATAACCATACTTCAACTGTCTTTCAACAGACCATTCAGGTGCTGTCCAGAGTGAACAGGTTCATCTAAAGAAATACAAATCATATCATTATCTAAAACTCAATGAAAATAGAAAAAGGAAGGAATCAGAATTAGCCAATGCAACCACAATGTGATTACTGGACAGTTACACAATGATACAATACTGCCCACACACCCTCACAGGTGTGACTCAGAGCTGCAAGGGAGACAGAGCCTACCCCAGCAAGCAACAGACTCAAGGTGGGGTACACCCTGGAATGGGACACCAGTCCATTGCAGGGCACACACACATCTAGGGCCAATTTTCCCAGAAGCCAATTAACATACCAGTATGTTTTTGAGCTGTGGGAGGAAACCAGAGCACCTAGAGGAAAACCACGGGAACATGCAAACTCCACACAGACAGCACCCCAGGTCCAGAATTAAACTCGGGGCTGAGGGCTAAGAGGCAGCAATGCTAACCACTGCTCCCCTGTGCCACTCAAAATTATTTTACAAGTATTTTTTAAAATATAGCATAAACATCTTAATTTAAGAACAGGCATCCAAACACCAAGGTACTGTACCATTACCCCTGGCCTTTTTTCTGCTTGTCATTTCTGCTTCTGTTGTTCCTAATTCTTGAGTACTTCTACAATAAATTTACATTTTACTACTACTAACAAGAAGCGTCATTACAAATTAAAAAAAAACATAGATAATTGATAAGTAGATAATCAATAACTATTTGTAAAATAATAAATTGATTATTTATAATTATTTTTTAAAGTAAAACTTTAGAAATGTGTTATCCTAAGTGGGATCTACAGTTTTTGATTACTTATTAAAATGTAATGCCGGTGTGAATTTATATTACTAACCTAACTATTCTAATCACGTCTGTAATTAAAACATATAATCTAAGTTTCAGATAAATACAACTTCAGACAAATGCAACTAGACATATTTAGCTCTCAGAGAAGGAACAAAGCTTTGATCTTTGTAAATGAAAACATTAAAATTTTAATAGAATTTTTACATCAAATTAGGAATAAGTGTTTATGTGTTGGCTTACAATAGACTCAAAGTCTTTAATCCACCTGTTCACCAACTGGTTAGGATGAAGAAAGCTATACAAAACAAAAAGGACAGGAACTGGTTCAGTGATTTCAATCATGATTTAACCTGAAGTCTACAGCAATGGGGAAGTAAGCATTTTACTGTACTGTATGTACAGTATAGTGGTCCTCGAGTTTATAGGTAGAACAATACAGAGCACACAACATAAAGATATAAGCAACAGGCATGCATTTTTCAAACTAATAAGGTAGACAGTAAATCGTAACGTACTGTACCACTGCAGAGAGAACGTTATACATTCAAGCTCTGCAGATAACAGTTTGACATTGGACCAATATACAGTACTGTACCATCAAAGAAAAATACACACGTACATATTTACCAACGAGTCGCTTTCTAGATCTGACATTCCTTGCACTACAGTAAGCCTTAAGGTATATCATGCAGTTGGGAGAGTGACTGATAGCGTTGGTTCTGTTTATCGGTTCTTCATATGCTGATAAAAGAAAGGTACGAAGAGATAGCAGATGGCGGAAGATAATAATTTATGATTTCAAGACTAGGGAATTCCCTATTGTTTGAAACAATTTCAGTAAACACACAGCACACAGTATAGCGGTTGGTGCAGCATTTCAGAGTGTTTATGACTGTATAGCGTTACACGGCCAACAGGTGAGTTCCTGTTTTTTTGCGTGTTATTTTCCCTCGGGCTGGAACAGAAAAACACCCTCTCTCCTGCGCTCGACTTCGTTATTAAACCCCTACTTCAGCAATCAGAGTTTACGGATCGCGATACTTCCCTTTACAAAGAAGATACATATTGTCTATTCAATTTCTAAAACAAAAAAGCCTTTCTCTTACTAACATATCCAATCTTAGAAATGCGCCCAAGTGAAAACAGATATATCTGTGGTTCCTAAATTTAAATATAATAATTTGAGCTTTCAGAACGACAAGTATGAAATCTCTTTAAATTATAACACTTTGACGTAAAATTAAATTGTCTTCATTTCTAACAGAAACGCACACTTTGACACGTTTTTTTTAGGTAAGGGGACTTGACCTCTGAAGTTACGGACATGAACCTGATATTTATCAAATATGCATGATGTCTTTTTCAAGGAAACTGTTCTTCTTCAATTTCCATTGACGCTTCCCCAAAAGTCACCTGTTGATGCAAGCCCTTATCGGCTCATACAGGTAGTAAAGTCAATACTCTGACCAGCCATACAACTCACCTTTCCTTTCAAGTCCAGGATGAAAACCGCTGACGCAGACATCCTCCTGTACGAGGTCGGAAGAAGTCCCGACCGAGGGTAACTGTTATTTTCCGGGTGTGTGTCCTGTTTAAATGTGCAAAAGAAATCAGTCTGGATTTTATTAAACGGGAGTATTTTCTCCTTGCAACGCTCTTCCGGGTCTCCTAACGTCACAGACCTGTCAAACAGCTTTTCATTTGCATATAAAAGGAAGTTGCTGTGGACACACAAGTCCACTCACCTTCACACGAACAGAAGGAAGACTGCGGTTTAGCGGGGGGCAGAGCTTAAATCGTGATGGATAGAGTTTTTTCTCCGCTCTCCTTCGTGCGACGGAAAGTGCTTTAATGCCTGGAAGCAGATCTAGAATGATTTCGTCGAGTAAAGCACAGAGGAGACTATTGCCTATTTTGCATGACTAATGTTTGTACACTGCTCTCATTGAACTTTATATATATATTTTTTATGCTAAATTCCACATACCTTATATTAGAATATGTATGGAGAATTTACTACACTTTGAAACCCGTGTGCATATCGAGTATCACTATAAAATTATTTGATATCAGCAACAGTATTGTATCTATAGGACTTTGGGTAATCCGAAAAAACAACATCACAATTTTAAAAGAATTAAAGTATTGAACAGACTTCATGCATAAGGACAAAATACGCAGAAAACACACATTTTCATTTTTTTTAAAAAAAGGAAGCAAAAATAGGTATGCTACATAAAAGGACGGTATTAATAAGCTATATCCTACTCTCTTTATATCTTATTTGGATTTAATAATTACAATTTAATCATTTAAAAGGCAGAAGCCATGTCAGATCCAGGAATTTAGTCAAATGTCATGTGAAGGACAGTACAAACACGTTGTGGCAGAATTCGTCCAGCTGGTACTTGAACTGTGATCGAATTGTTAAAAATGAACATTGGAGACTCCTGGCGGTGTTAATAATTATTAGCGTTTAAAATGGATAAAACTAATATTGCATTATTAAACATAAAATTGAATTTTTATTATTTGGAAAACATAAAATGTAACATACCGAAATGTGTACCAGATTCCAATTAACATTAATATCCATCAAATTCCAACTTTTAAAAACTTTATGTACTGAAAAACAAAAGAGAATTTTTTTAATGCAATATATTTAATGAATAACCAGATTAAAGGGAATGATTACAAGCATACAGTATAACAATTTACCATTTTTAATGTGAACTTCATACCCTTAATGAGACTACATTAGTTTGGTATGAATTGTAATTACAGTGACAAAGATAGAAAATCAGGCTAAATTGTGTAAAAGTCAGGGTAGATTTGTAATATGTTTTTTTTAACAGACTCACAATATCACAGTATGTATTCTAAGCAACAAAATAGACAGCATATGGTAGAGACAAAGTAAAAACCATTTGAAACTCCTTTTAATATGGAATATAAATTACATATTACTCTGCAACTCACAACTGGCAACCCACTGAAGCTAAGCAGGTGTGAGCCTGGTCAGTACCTGGATGAGAGACCTCCTGGGAAAAACTAAGGTTACTGCTGGAAGAGGTGTTAGTAGGGCCAGCAGGGGGCGCTCACCCTGCTGTCCATGTGGGTCCTAATGCCCCAGTATAGTGATGGGGACACTATACCGTAAACAGGTGCCATCCTTCAGATGAGATGTAAAATCGAGGTTCTGACTCTCTGTCGTAATTAAAAATCCCAGGGCGTTTCTCGAAAAGAGTAGGGGTGTAACCCTGGTGTCCTGGCCAAATTTCCCATTGGCTCTTACCAATCATGGCCTCCTAATAATCCCCCTCTATGAATTGGCTTCATTACTCTGCTGTCCTCCCTACTGATGGCTGATGTGTGGTGAGCGTTCTGGCGCACTATGGCTGCCATCGCATCATCCAGGTGGATGCTGCACATTGGTGGTGGTGGAGGAGAGAACCCAATACCTGTAAAGCACTTTGAGTGGAGTGTCCAAAAAAACGCTATATAAGTACAAGCAATTATTATTATTATTATATAGATACAGAATGGGTAAAACATTTTGATACATTGATCACACAATAATCTTTTTTTCCGATATGTAAATATATTAAATAAAGGTACAGTATATTGTATTGTATAGACATGCTGCCCCTTGAACACAATTCAGCATATTATAAAGAGGATTGTGCGGGGAGCTGTAAAGTAACAAGCAGAGGTTAAATCCATGCTGAAAAGTAGAAAGAATAATACAAATATATTTTTCTCTACTTTTCTGCATGGACTTAACCTCTGCTACTTAGTACTGTATACTGTGCTCTGTGTTTGTTTTTAATACCAGGAGTGTTAAAACTGTAGAATAATCATATACTGTATAAATATAACTTTTATATAAGTCTTTAACTTAAAATATACACATCTGCAAAATGTTAAATTAAAAACTGTTAATTTGTGACTTTTTTGTATTCACAGTGCTTGCTCCACATGTTTACAAAGCTTCAACACAGGAGTCATTCAAATAATCTTTTTCTTCACTGTCAGTGTAATCGGTCAAATGAAAGGCGATCATCAATGAGATAGCCTTCGGGTTTCCTTAAGAATTTTCTTAAAGGAGCCAATTTTTGTTTTTTACAGGGTTGGCCAGTCCTGATCCTGGAGGTTTGGTGTGTCTACATGTTTGTATTCCAGTTCAGCTCATCACAAGCGAAACCACATGGTTACTGGTCTAACTGGGTGAGTGGGACAGCTCCCCAGGTGCTGCTGTTTTAACTGGACCCCTAAAAGAGGTGTCCATAAAACTGCTTAAAATAAATAAATCCATAAAGCTGATTAAAATAACTACAGTAAATCAAGAAAACCCTACAACATCAATTCTGAATTTACACTCTGCCACTGCCCACAATCTTAATTATTATATTGTTATTATAGATTTATTGAATCAGCTAATTATTAATGTTCAATTTATTACAGATTGTAAAACTTTAATCTGTCATAGCTAAACATGTAGGAAACTTCTGCCCATCATCTGGTACAGAAGCATTCAAAATTGATCCGCACAGACAGGACAAATGATCAAGTTGCCCCATCGATCAGTGCCTGTGGAAAATGATTTTAAAGATGGATTTATACCGGTGCTGTAAAAAAACCCAAACATTACTTTGGTGTTTTGTTTTTGTACTCCATGAAAGAAAGGAGTTTTCACTTTGACCCGGTAATCTGGATCAGACTAGCAACCCTCCCCATAATTCCTCTGTCTTCTCTTTAAGTGATTGAAAACTGAATTTCATCGTCTCTGTTCTCCTCCTCCTCCTCCTCTCCTTGTCTCTCGGCCCTCTCCCTCTCGCTGGCCTGGATGTAGTTGTCCTCAATGAAGCCATCGTCATCCTCCAGCTCACACGAGGCGGAGCTCTGAGGCCCTCGGCCTGCCAGGCCCGCCTCCAGACTCTCGGTGTCGCAACGGCTGGCCGTGTCCGTCTCAGACAGCAGGGTGTGCCGATAGCTGGCCAGGTAGTCGTGGCAAAGTTTGCACTTGACCACCAGTGCAATGAACACAGAGAGGGAGATTGCTGTCACCAGCACCGCTATCAGGTACTGCCAGGAATTCCCACTTTTCCCATCATCCTTTGATGCTGCAGGGATAAAAAGTGCATTCAGGGTTTCAGCACCTGTATGACACATTTCTATTTTCTCTGTCTCACTTCACATACCCTCAATAACTGAAACACTGAAGCACACACATCCTGTTCTGTCCGGCATTAATGTATGATGGCAGTGGACATAACATGCTGTAAATCTAGTTTGCTCTTCATTGCAACAGAGGTTCCAAGGGATATGTGGAGACTAATTGTTTTCATTATTACAATAGTTGTTCTTAATGATTTACTTAGATGGCTCCTTTATCTAAAATACAGTAATCAAACACTTTATAGAATGAGGTAACGTAATTTTGAGACACAGACTAGAGGGTACAAGCGGAAATTATGTGGAAATGCATTTAAAACCAGTAATAGGAGGCAAAGGGTTGTGGGAGTGTAGACCAAGCTACCCAGCCATGTTGTTGAAGCTCATACCCAGGTTTCCTTCAAGAAAGAGCTGGATGATATCCCTGGATCAATTGGCAACTGATGAACAAACAGATTAGATGGGCCAAATGGTTGCTTGTGACCATTCGTAACTTCTTATAATTTCCCAGAAAACTGGAACTAAGTTAAAAAACATAAATGTAATGGAGATCTGGATGCATTATACTGTAAGTTGGTTGTGGAATACCACAATACCTCTCAAAGTTTGGAATGGGCAGCACAGAAGAAGATCACCATTATAACAGGATTCAGCAAAAATATATTATTTGTGCAGTGCAGTGAGGAAAATTGTAGGATTCAAGTCAGGCTGGTCTTATTATTTGCACATTAGTAAATCATTGATAGCAGAAAGTGTGGAGAAAGCACACAAGTATAATGGAATGTGGCTGAGAAAGTCCTCTGTCTTTATCTATTAAAATCATGGTTGTGAAGGAAACAGAGCTATGCTACTGAATTGTGAAACAGATGTCTTACTGTTATTAAAGTTAGCTGTTGTGTTATATTTATCCACGGTTGCCTCCAATAGTTTTCTCTGGCCACTTCTCCAGGTGGTGTGGTGTATTTCATTCTCTGAAAAGTAACAAGGTAAAGTCAAAAAAGTCTATTCCTTGCTTGTCTGTTTTTCTTTTCACAAGCAACCAGAATGCAGAAGTGTTCTATTTCTCTCTTCACCAATAGAAGCCCCTTTTAGGCCCCAAACTAAACCCATTTAGTTTGATAAAAACTAATAATAAAATTACCCACCTTCTGAATTATTTTCTGGTTTGAGAATCATGTCATCTGAACCACTTGGCCAAATCACATTTCCTACTCCCTTCAGCCACTCTAAAGATGAAGGCTGTGGTTTGTCAAGCCTGTTGCCATGGAGATCCAAAAAGGACAAAACTGTCAGATCTTGGATGGCAGTAGTTAAAGAGCCCCACAGTTTGTTGTTCCTCAGCAGAAGGCTCTTCAGTTTCGGGAAGCCTTGAAAAGCCCCAGCCTTTATTTGCTTGATGTGGCAACTGCTAAGATCAAGGACTTGCAGGTTTTGTAGACTGTTGAAGGTCTTTCTCTCCAGCAGGGGGAGGTAGTTGCCCGTGAGGTTGAGGAATACCAAGGACTGAAACCTCTCCAGCTGCTTTTGGTTTCTGGTTTCAGTTAGGTCCAAGAAATTCCCTGATAAGTCCAGAACAGTCACATTGTCCCAGATCTCTGGAGGTATTTGTGTTAGCCTCTTCTGGCTGCAGTTCAATATCTGTTTTTAAGAAGATGAGTAAATTGATGTCTTGTTTTTTTATTTCAAATGAGAACTCTGCTAATATGAACAGTCATGCAAAGCTAAAGATTATTTTGAACAGCGTACAGACTATTGTGTGTTCTGTTTTTCCCATGAACAAGCTAAGAACCAAGAGGACTCTTAACATACAAAATCACAAACTGACTGGAAAACATACGCATACTCAAAATTCAGCAGATCTATTTAGATCAGTTTTGTTAGTGAAACTATTTAGCTTTAAAACAACAAAACCCAGATAATTATTAGAGGGCTAATGGAGCTAATGTATAAGGTAATACCTGGAAAAGAAATGGCATTCATCCAATATCAGGAAACATATAAAAGCAGTACAAAACATCCAACAGATTGCAGACGTATGCATGCTGACCGAACCTGAATTTGTTTAATATTCTGAGATTCATAAATTTATGTTAATTTATATGCATTCTAAGTTCTTAACAGCTTACCATGTTTTACCAAATTAAATGCTTACATTATTATTATTGTTAATAATAATATTGAACACATAAAGAGAGACAAGACCACTGTCAATATATTCACACTAAAAGTATGTCAGCAGAAACAGGAAACAACTAAAGCACCATGAGTTTTGCATTATCAAAACAACAGCACTCAGAAAAAACAAACTGGAGAAAAAAAATCTCAGCACCAACTAAAGAATATATTTCACCTCACAGAGCTGATAAGATACACACACAGTTACTAATGACTAAACCTTGATCCATTAATATCAGTTTAAATAGCATTATTATTTCATTTTCTTTCAGATAGAATAGCTACCTCACGGGATACTGTAGCTCCCCAGAATGGCACGTGTTACATTAGCAGTCCAGAAAGGTGAAGGAGACGGAGCTCAGTGAGGCCTCATGGTCATTACAAGGGTTATGGATATATTTTTTGCATGTTCAGTTTTTACAGGTCACTAATAATACTAAAGTAGTTTTAGCCAAGTCAAATACAGTGATTGTTTTATTCGAGTTACTCTTTGCAATTCCACCTACCTCACCAATACCAACACACAAGCTGACAGCCTGTGTTACAGCAATAACAGTCCCCCAGAGACACACAACAACACCAAGTGTACAGTTTAAGGTCCCCATGCTTCTCTGAGCCCTGCTGAAAGAAAGACAGTTTAATTCTTCCGTCCATCCCATACCAACTGGAACACAGTAAATCTAGGGCAGAGATATGGAATTATCACTGCAGGCTTAACAAGTTTCTAAACAGCACAGCTGTTTGCACAACTACAATTAAATTGCTTTTTTTTTTCTTTCGCACAACCATGCTGCTTAAAAAACATACCTGGCGGAATTATAAAAATGCAGATGAAAATATATACCAAAGTATTATATTACAGTAAAGTATTTTGTGGGTAAGGTCATATTGAACACATTTAATGTACATTAATCGGGATTAGAGAATATTGTACCTGAAGTTATAGTCTCTCCCTCTTACTGTACATCCATTGGGTTTAAGTAACAACATAAATAAACAAACTAAATAAATATACTTTATAAGGGCCACTTGTATCCTACTTTTAAGACAACGATTTCAAGGGACTGACTGGAGAACAGTTGAGACTTGTTCATTTCTGATTTGTTCTGTACAGTGAAGTGCTGGCTAACTCTTTTTTCTGTGTTCATTTTTAAAAGTAATTCTATTCATTTTTAGGGTCTATGAATTGCAAACAAACCTCAAGGATGAAAGGTGGTGAAAACATCAGATTCACCGCCTGTACTGCTCAGGAAGCATTATCTTTTAGGCAATGTACTGTATATCAGCTGCCATCATACTACAGGACCCTGAATGTATACAGTACATCTGCACTTGATAAATGGCTATTGTGCTTGACCTTACTGTGGCTCTATCAACAATTTACAGACATTCTAAGCCTGTATATACATTTTGATTACTTTTATTATTTCTATTATATATGTGTTATTATACATTATACATATGTTATTTATAAACACATGTGCATATTCCTCATAGAAAGATGTAAATATTCAATGTAAGTTGTTTTCAATCTTTTCATTAAAGGAAATCTTGCTTACAGCCCCTTTTGGCACTGAGGCCATTTTTCTCAGTGGGCAAGCCTGTTATTAGACCTCTTCCCCTAGCCTTGCCCTGCTATTGAATTCTGTATTGTTGGCTGTAAACATACTCCAGGGGCTGTCTTTATCTCTTCCTGTCTGAACACACAAAAACACCACAACAACAGGGCCTGTGAGCAGTAGTGGGAGACAAGGGGTCTTTTGTTGAAAGGTGCTGAGTTTCTCTTTCTTTCTGCTGCTTTTCATTTTAATTCAGTGGTGACTTCAGAAAAGGTTTAACGGCAAATGGCCATGGTTATGTTTGCAACACGGCCTTAAAATGACCTCTTAGAAAGTGTCCTTTATGAGGCCCGTTCTTGGGCTCTATTGAAGGTCACAATACAAAGTATTTCACAGAGCAACACCAGTGGGTGGTAGACTATAGAGTATTAACTATTAACACTATTAACTGCTCAGCTGTACCTTCACATGGGTATATGTAACCCATGAACTCCTAAAGTACTGATCTGCCACCTTTTAAGAAAACTTCCATCCATTTTCTAACCACTTTATCCAATTCAGGGTCACAAGGGAGCTGGAGCCTGTCTCTGCCAGCAAGGGGCACAAGGCAGGGTACACTCTTAATGGGATATCAGTCCATCGCAAAGGAACATACAGACACTCACACCAGGGACTGTTTTCCCAGAAACACTAACTGTAACACTTTGTTGTTGGACAGTGGGAGAAAGCTACAGCACCTGGAGGAAACCCACACAAACACAGTGAGAACATGCAAACTCCACACGTATAGCACCCCAGGTCTGGACTGAACCCAGGGCTTTAAAGGTGTGCCTCTGTACTGCCCTTTTTTAAAAAAAAAAAATTAATTAAATGAAAGTTCTGCAAATAGCTACAAAAACATTATTTAATATCTGATTCCTTCACCAGAAGCACAGCATAGGAGAACAAAACATGTCACTGAGATTTGTAATGATACTTATACTTTTTCGATAAGGTGGCTGTACAATGTTTTAAATTCCTTACTTATTGGTGTGTTAGACCACTGTAAATAGCCGGCAAAACCCTATTATCACCTCCTCGCTGTGCCAGCTGGATACAAGGATTCGTTGGAACTAACGGTGAAGGGTCTGATGGCAGGCGGAGCGATGCGCGGGTTGGAGTATTCTCGGTCGCATTTAATGGCAATGTCAGCTCAAAAATTTGGTTCAAACCACCAAATGGAGACAGGCGTGCCGACAAGCGGACCCTGCTGATGTGGGATTAATGCTAGGATGAAGAAGAAGACCACTGTAAATCTTGTTTTTTGTGTAGATTTGATTGATATGAAATCAATTGTAAAGTGCTTCATATTTACATGTCAAAAGAAATCTGGCTAAATGGCAATATTCAAATATAAGTCTTTTATATTGTCATCATATCACAGTTCTCGCCATGTGAAGTTAACTGAGATGGATGGGATTGTGTTATTGCTAGACCTTCAACAGCGAATGAGTAAGGAATAAGATATGTACTGTATTTCATTTCTTAGCACTCTTACAACTCATGCAAAATTCTCACTTAAGTTTTTTCCTCCCAAATTTATTTTTTCATGCTTTTATTTTGTGACCTAGCTGAAGTAGTTTTCTGTTAGGACACTTGATTCTTACGACCACCACCACACTTCATCACCTCATTTTCAAATTATGTCCCGATCCTCCACTAATTAAACCCCCACGTTCCACATTCCCATGCTCGGTATTGGGGGTCCCTTGCTTGTCAGCTTGCTGCTAGCTAAGATTTCTCTCACTGTGTGCTTCTTTTTCCCTTGACTCTCTGGATTCTTTACCCATTGCCTAGTATTTTGGATTTCACCTTTTTGGATCGTGTTTATCGGATTAGTTCTCATTTTGAAGGATCTTAGAAGCACTGCATAGGGTCTAATTTGCTTTTCAGCTTACCGCTGCCTTACATTGATATTCCTGATTCACAAGATTATTCACCCATTCACCTAGTTTTGACCCATTATTATTTTGCCCTAGGTGGAAATGGGGGGGGGGGGACAAGTAAAGTAACTTATTTTAACTCCACTACTTGATATTTCAGTTAGTCTAGGCTTGAAAAGGAGCGGAACTGCAGTTCAACACATGGAAGCAACAAGAATTTTCAGTAAGTTTACCCCTGCAACTCGCACGTCCCAGTTTCATTGCTCTGGGATCTGGTTACTGTGTTTCTAGACATTCAATTAGTATGCAAAATGAAACCAGAATCTCATTAAACAAAACAGCCAGCAATTTTACAGACATAATATCTGACAAAGGGAAAATACAAATGCAGAACTGTTTCTTTTAATCTACATAAAAGCACGAGTCATTACTGAATTGCTTCAACTGTCAAATATACTTCTTTATTGTTCCACTGTAGACTTGGTTTTAGCATATTGTTTTGCAACTGTGGTAGGGAACAAGTTTTGGGAGACTTCTTAAAATGCCAAATTTACAAGGTCGTGCCCTAGTTTGGAATGACTCCCACAGCAAATTAAACTGTTGAAAAATATCCTTTCAGGGCTTTTAACAAATACTAAAAACTGACTGCAACACCCACTCTAGTCAAACTATTGTCTCTTCACAATAGGGTAATTGCACAAAATAACAAAAGTAAATCTATTAAAAGAGCACAAATCAGGATGATTAACCTTTCCTTTCTATCATTTATGGTGACAACAGGCAAAAGGGGGGAAAGGCAGAGTGGGTCACTGACCTTACCAGAAATGAGAATTTAGGTTACAGCCCGCCAGTCAGCCACAGGGCAGTGCAATTCCTTGAGCTAACAGTGAATAACAGCATTGCAATGTGATACATAGACAAGAAGAAGCCTCTGCAGAAATAGGACACAAGTTAGATTTTCATTCCCTAAAGGCATAATCTGTGCCTTCCTTTATGGGATGTAATTGTATAATTTATCCTTCCTTTTTCTAACCACTTTACCCAATACAGGATTCAAGGTGGGATATACCCAGGGGGATACACCAGTCCACTGCAGGGCTCACACACATGGACATGCACACAGTAAAACCGAGGGAAATTCTCCCAGAAGCCAATTAACATACCAGTATGTCTTTAGACCTTGGGGGGAAACTGGAGCACCCAGGAGAAAACAGGGAGCACTTTGTAAACACGGGGACAACAAACTCCATGCAGATGGCACCCCAGCTCCAGAATTGAACTCGGGGCTCCAGCACTGCGCGGCAGCAATTCTAGCCACTACGGCACTTTGCTGTCTGTAACTGTATAATGTACAGTACTAATCTTTCTGCTAATCTTGTTTTAAGTAACAGTGATCAGTCCCATTAATCTCTAGAGACAGACAAGAATTATTCCTCAGGCGATACCAGTTTGCACCCACCCCTCAGTTATAAATTGAATTCATTATGAAAGACGAGTATTGAAGAGCAGGGTTGCCAGACTGCGTAGTAAAGTATAGTATTAGGGGGCTGACTCATAAATTACAGTATATTGTCAGAGTGTCCTAGACGCTGGAGGGGTCAGGGAAAACATTGTTAAAGGAAAGAGGTCCATGGCAAAACATTAGAAACTGTGAGATAGTAACCTACAGACCTTGCCACTGGAGTGGACAGCTGAGCACCTTTCTTTCCATTATTTTCCAATTTGCAGCCATATTCTATGTCAGATATAACATACAGTGTACATCCATTATCAGAAGACCATTTCTTCTTAGTATGAGTCATGACAACACAGACAGCAGGTCACCAGTCAATCGAAGAGTGTGCGTGCACACAGGGACAATCTAGAGACAATCTAATGACTGTAACCTACAGTACCTTGCATGCCTTTGGAAAGCGGGAGGAGACCAGGGCACTCAGCACAAACCTGTGCAAACTTGGAGAGAACATGCAAATTTCAAATAAAAGACACCCTAGTCCAGAATGGACCTCTGTCTCAAAGATCTAGGAGGTAACAGTGCTAACTGCTACGCCAATGTACTAATATTCAGATATCCAGTTTTTTAAAAACCATCTCACACAGAATCTTTTAAAATATGTCCTCTGGTTCATGATGGTTTAGCTGACAGGACAACAGTGCCAAAGTATTCAAGAAATTGTATATAAACAGCTGTACATTATTTACATTGGAATAAAAGAGAGCAAAAACAGGCAACTTCCTTATTTCCCTCAGGTCAGTACTATGGACATTTCACTGCGTAAACACACAACAAAGAAAATGGCTAAATCAGCAGCTCCTAAATATCCTGAATATTATGATAACAAACATAAAGAGATTTATAGATTAATATTTGGAAACATACAATTACATATGGAAACTTGATATTTGTTACATACAGGAAGAAAATCAACTGTATGTAAGCACAAATGTAATGCACGTGCACACTATAATCTATAATTTAGATTTTTAAATGTATTCATTTTAAAATACAGCTGTTACTACATCTTGTGGTAACAAAAAAAGTAGAAACACTGCAGGTCTGAACTATGGATCTTCATAAGTTCTTCCTGTGCTATTTATTTTTAAGCATTTTGTTAATATATACATTAAATATCCTATATAATTCCTTAATATTTAAATTAAAACTATTTCACGTTAGAGAACACAGTTTATAAATAAAAGAACAAACATCGGCTGGATATGATAGGAATGAACTTCAAAATATTCAACATTTGAGAGATTCAAGGTGTCAAGGTGTCTCATACTAAGTCGATATAAAAATGACCACAGTTACAGCAAGTGCTGCTTTTAGTATTTTAAAGAACCATCAGCAGTAACTCACAAATCTTTATCCTGGGCCTCTGGTCACTTCTGTCCAGTAAAATAGTGTTTCTCTCCCTATTCTCACTTTGTAGTGGTGTGGGTTTTTTTTTCAGAGAAAATGGAGTCTTCCTGTGCAAAGGTTAAGAGCAGTGTAATTCTAAACGCTCTCACAAGAGTCTGGTTAATGAATAACTATGCTGGTAACCAAATTAGCTCTTCAGACCTCTGCCTCCTTATAGAAGTCCAATCACAGGTTGTTTGAAGCAGAAAGTCTTTGTTAAATGAAATGTCATCTGGTAAAGAAAGTCTGTAGCTGAGAGATTTGTGTTGCATTAAGAGATTAATCAAAAAAACATGATGATTCCTGTCTCCATTGCTTCATTAGCCATTATTTATAATTTTCCTTTTGCTGATTAGATCTGTGTTTCAGACTTCCAAGAAAAATTGGTTTCCAAAACAGTTCCTGAGTATCACAAGGCTAATTAACTCTACCATCTCAGCATGCTCTGTCACACCTGAAGAATACTCCACAGCTGAAACGTTGTGTTTCCTTTCTTCTTTTTTTCATAAACTTATTACTTGTTCCTTTGCAGCCTACACATGCCGACGCAGCTATCCACCTGATGCTCTGTCATAGTCACATCCAAAGCATTTCAAGCATTTCTTAAACTGATATAGTCATTTGAACTGATATATTCCTAAGTCAACATGGAAATATATGAAAAGACTTTGAAAATGAAATAAGAAATATGCACCAGGCTGTGTCTCTTAATTCAATCTTGCAAATACCTATAACCCTGAAAAAGGAACACGGTAAGTGTTCATTACAGTAAACTTTGTGAAATTCAAGTGTATCAATGCTATTCTTCTTTTTCAGGGTTATAAGACAATCAGAAATAGTGAGTGTATATCAAAGCACAAAATAAATGTACGGTAATAGTTGAAATTTCCAGATATGCGCAGTTCCATATTCTGTGATGCGGAAAGAGGCAAATTCCGGTGAGGGACAGCAGCCCTATTACATTGTAAACAAGCCAGCTTCTGAATACATCTCTTTTAGTCCAATAGAAATGATGCTCTCTACAGATCACGCGGGAACATTTCTGCAGTGTTTGCTGCACAACCTGTACTTACTTACTCGTACATCGCAGTACATTAGTCGTTACAGTGACTAGTGAGCAGGAAGGGCCGCACCATGTCGCAATTCGCATGAACTCTCACACTCGCTTTTGAGGATACCCGCGGTTGCAATAACACGGCGACTTACAGTACTTTCACAAAGTTCACAGTTTTCTGCTTAGTTCAAAAGTTGTAAAATTGTCCTATGCCTCCAATTAATTTATTTTTATACCAAGATTTTATAACAGGTTTGAGAAATTGGGACTGCAGTGTCCCTCTAAGTGATATGCACTTTTGATGCTTGCAGTTTACTTAGCCGCAAAATGACTACGGCCGTTTCTTACAGGGTCGAAAATAATTCAGTAGATGTAACATTACACCATTTTAATATCTCCCCTCCATTAGAGACCAGGATGAGAAATTAGCTTTGTTTTGGAAATAAGTGACCTTAAGTGAGTAAACAGGCCTTCCCTCGTCTTGCAGGAAAGGAGATATGACCCTGAAAACAATAGGGTCACTTCCTCACCATCTCATCAAGTGCTCTGGCTGTGGTGTGAACTCCTCGCTGCAGTGCAGTCTGCACATTTGGATTAAGGAGGCATTCTTGAAGGGGTGGAGAAGGACAGCCGGGCAGAAAGTGGCCAGTCAGCAAAGCCAATTACAAGGGTCTCCCCACCCATGGACGCAGGGGCATCTCTTTGTTACAGCTGCGCAGAGAGGTCAAGGGTGCCAGGCATACAGCTGGTGCAGCTTCATTCTGTATGGGAAAAACAAAACAGCAAAACAGGGTCATAATCATAGTGGATTACAGATTTGGAAGAAGAAAATTCTCAATCCTGTACTTATACATACAGTTCGAAAGTCCTATTTCATTAAAATAAACACCATCCCCCCAAAAAATTGACTTGTCATTTTTCCCCTTGCTGTACTTCTTTAAATTACTAGCAATGATAGATTTCTGTATGAGCGTCAGTTCCTGGCCCTGCACAATATACAATTTTGCATAGCTGAATAATATCTATGACAGATGATCTAAAGAAGGGAGTAAACTAACTGCAACTAATCGTGAAAACACATGACCGTGAAAACTACCAAAAGCTCATTTAAACAACATCACACAGACAATGCAGAGGACGTTTCTTGACCAGTGCTTCATAATGAGTGGTTTTCTTGGAGGAAATATCTAGGAGGCTTCAGCTGGTGAAAGACACTAAGCTGCTGCTCTGGTAAATCATCCAGGGGCATTAATATCAATAGTCCTGAACCAGTACTGTAGTGAACTAGTGGTTATAAAACCTTGAAGAACACTTTCAAGAAGTTAGCGTTAAAGTGTCAACAGGCTGGATAAAATAAAATGATCTCAGGAGGGTACAAAGTCTTGTCGCATTTTCATTCAACAGGATAATTACTGTATTTATTTCAAAAGGGGGGTATTGTGGCCCAGTGGTTATCTTTGTTGCCTCATAGCACTTGGGCCCTGGGTTCAGGTTCCTGGACATAGGATGCTATCTGTGTGGAGTTTGTATGTACTGTCTCTATCCCTGGAGGTTTTCTCTGGGTACTCTGGTTTCCTCCCACAGTCCAAAAACATACTGGTAGGTTATTTGGCTTCTGGGAAAATTGATCTTGGTGTGAGTGTGTCTGTGTTTGTGTGACAGCCCTGTGATGGACTGGCATCCTGTCCAGGGTGTGCCCTGTCTTACTCCTGTTCCCTGCTAGAATAGGCTTCTGCTCCTGTGCGACTCTGAATTGGAAGAGGCAGTTAGAAAATGAAAGGATGGACTTTCATCAAAAAATAATTATTTTCTCCCGTATGTGAAACACTTAAAAAGACATAAAATACTAATCTAAGAAACCCTGCAGGACAGTGGCTGTGATTTCATGGACTTGTGCGCCTTTGTACTGTACTAGTTCAGGTGGGTAACTGTGTCAGCATGTGTAGACTGTAAAGGAACAAGTAATAGGTTTATTCCATGCTGAAAAAAAGAAGAGAGAAAAAACACAACGTTTCGGCCGTGGAGTCTTCTTCAGGTGTGAAGTACATGTACTGTACTTGTACTGTACTGTATGTTGGTAAATTTGACATTGTGGATCTTGAGCTGTCCAAGTCTTCCTTAGAGCTGAGAAGTAAATATTTTATTACCACACAAGCTTGCTTGTGAACTATAAGCCAGGGCTAAAACCTCAATCGGGGCCTGTGGGTGTCAGATTGAGGTATTCCTTTCCATGTCCAACTGTTTTCCACAGAGATCCATGGGAATCAGGTCCCCTGGCTGTCCAAACATACCACAGACAGGAGGCCACAAGCTTTCCTGTTTCTGCCTGCCATGTGTTTGATTCCAACTCAAGCCGTTTCCTGGTCAGATAGCAATCCTAGCAGCAGGAATTCCTGTCCAGGAGCCATTCTCCATAGACGGGCACACACACTGCGCTGAACAACAACAACCGCTGCAGTGGTAATAATGAAGAAAAAATCTGGCAAAGTTCCCCAGCCTCCTTGCTAATAATATTCTTATGGAGCGCTATGACTGTATTACACCTTTAATGATTATTTCAGCCCTGCGGCTATAATTAAAAAGACAAAGCGTACTCTATTAGGTCACCCTGACCTGGACGGAGAGGAAACATAGCCCCAGGCCACAGAGTGTGATCAACTAACAAAGTGGAAAACAAATAAAAGAAGAAGAAAGATAATTAAGAATCAACAGTGGAGTACAGAACTTGAAGAAGGAATATTAACAAAATCTTAAAATGTAGAGAATTAGCAGCAGTAATTACTGCTTCCATAATAACTTTATTTGAAATACTACATTTTTACTGATACAGCATATTCAGTTTTTCTTTTAGGACCTGAAATAACTTTATTATTTAGCCAAATCATTGGCTCCAGGAATGGAGGAATAATAATTTGATAATGGTAGTTACATCTCTGGGTGGGATAAATGCATGGAGATTAACTCAAAGTGGTTGC